CAATTGCATGGGGCAGTCAGAAGCATGATCCACACTTTCCATAGATTCAGAGCCAGAAAGCTTTTGGATCCATTCCCACTCCTCTCTGTATGTTGAGTCAAGTTAAAATTAGAAATAAAACAAAAGTTCAGAATACAACTCAGAACTTTCTTAGTGTATATGTCCAGAACCTGGACAGCCAGTCCTTGGTAGCTAAAAATCAAGGCAATACATGCATTCTGAACTTTTTACCACCCAAAAGGAGTTTGAAATGAGCTTTTTATAATTTAAGCTTAGTTTACCTATCAAACCACATACACCTCAGAACAGCAGGTTTAATTTGTATGAATCAGTCCTTGAGATCAGAGCTTTCAAATATTTTGTAATCATTTCCTGACTGTCCTTATTTTTCTTTGCCTGGAGATTCTCTGTAAGGTCTAAGACCCTACATTTCACCACAGGGGCATCTGCTGGTTAATTCTGCAGTTGGGTAACCACAAGACTCTGCTCCAACTCAGGCAACCAACCACATGGCACATTTCAACCCTGGCCTGTTGTAACTGTGGGGACTATTTTGGTTTCTCTCCCCTCCCAAAAGCTTGAAGGTAATCACAAACAGGAACACCAGGCATTTCCAATAAAAGGAAAAGGGGACACACATCACCGCTTCCATCCTTCTTATGAACCAGTCATCTGTGTCTTTATTCTGCATGCCCTATAATCCTTCCTAATGAACTTTTCCAAATGTCATGCAGAAAGAAGGGAAAAGAATGGTAGTGGGAGGAAAGCACATGTGTTTTGCTCCCAAAGGCTCCTCTTCCAAAGAAGCTTGAAAAGATCAAGGTAAATGCCTCTTAGGGAACATTGTTTCCACAGGTATTTTAGCACAGGTCTCTAAAGCACATTTAGTTGGCCCAATTTCTCCCTCAAACCCTGCAGGGAGCAGCAATATGCTCTCAAGGGCAGAGCAGAGAGAAAAGGAAAGCCCTCCTCTCAAGGGAATGGAAAGAAAGAAGGTGCTGACATGTGTTCCTTCCCTTGTGAAAATCCTCTGGGGCTCTCCCAAAGGGTTATACTGCCTGGGCTCCAATCTGGGGGTCAGAAAACCAAATCGGTTTTGGCATGAACTTTTCATCAAAAACTGTACTCTTTTAACTATCCTCTTAGAAAAGTTTTTTTTTTTTTTTTTTTTTTTTAAAGATACCTGTTTCATTTCCCATTGGATAAGACTATGGAAAATTTACCCTTTGTCTCAATAAGAGAAACAAATATCAAAGTTAAATCTTACTGAAACCTGGGATACTATTGGCTTCCCAGATAATTGAAATCTTTGAGAACCTGCTTGGGAACTTATTTCTTTTACCCCATCACTGATGTTGAACTAACTGAAAGGTTTATGGCTTTTATAAGCATACATAAAGCCTAAAGGATCACATTGCTAAAATAAGATAAATAATGAAGTTAGAAAATAAATTACCAGTAAGAATACCATGACATGCCTGTCACGATGAAACTTGGATCCTTGGCCAGGGGAAATTAGTTGATATAACCACTAAGAGATGGAGTCTAAGCCCTGAAGACACACATCTAGGAAATCGATGCAAGTGCACATCGGTAAGTCAACCGTCAAATGAGCCATGTACCATTTTGTGGACCGAGATAACTAATGTTGATTGTAGAAGTGACCACCAGATGGCAGACTCAAAGTCCACGAGTAGTTGACAAGTGAAAGGCAAGAATATGGTAGTCAGTGAGTTCTTCAAAGAGATGACCATCACCACCATCTTCATCATCTCCTCCATTGTCATCAAGTATTACTTTTTAAATTAACCCTGTGAGTTATACTAGTTAATAAAGTCTTGCTATTTTAAGCACTGTATTTTTAAATGACCAAATTAGAGTCTCCTTTGGTTAAGCAAATCTATAGGTGTAACTAGAATTTAAGGATCTAATTTATACTCTTTGAGGTTTGAAGAACTATGCAGAAATTTTTCTTTTCTTATCTATTTATTTCTTTCCTCTTTTCCTTTCTTCCCTCTCTCTCTCCCTTCCTCATCCCTTCTTCTTTCCTTCCTTCCTTCCTCTTTCTTTTTTCCTTTTTCTCTTTGTCTGTCTTTCTTTTGTCATATGAGCACAATTCAGTTCATGATAGAAGACTTTCAGAGGACTGCTATGAAGATTAGTTGTAAAGTTGAGCCAGATCACTAAGATTGGGCAGCTTTCCCAAAACTTAATGGGGTAATTCACCAAATGCTAAACCATAGAGCAAGTTTCCAGAAGCTCAAGACTTGTTATTTCATTTCCTCCTTAGAGAATCATAAGGGGTGCAGAAAATATACAAAGTCCTCAGTCCAGAGGGTCGGGGTAGAGAGTGTGAGGGTGCAGGGTTATTTAAGATAGGGGGTGGGGATCATTAGCTCTATGAAACCCATTCCTATAGGTGATATTTAAAAACAAAAGAACAAAAAGAAAATGTCTGTTTTAGGTTATAAGGAAAAGATAATGGAAATAGCAATGTTAGAAAAGATCATCTGTTCATTAACCAGTTGAGCATCAGTGGTTTTACTGTGCATAATGCAGAGGGGAAAGTAACAAGACAGTGCCCCCTTTTAAGAGGCTCATTCCTCCCACCAACCTACAAGCGAGGCTTCCTTATCCTAGTGTTAACACTCAACTGTGCTCTGCTTCACTGCCCCTGAGGTTATCTCACTACAGAAACTGACACTTCACTTTCCTTCTGGCACATCAAACCTGAGTCAATGTTTCATCGAAAGAAAAATCAAAACTCCTGACATCTTACCGGGAAATGTTATGGTTTTCACGGATCTTCACGTGGCAGAGAATGTTGGGCAACTTCTGTGCAACAAGGACTTTGATTTGATCCACAGAGCTACATAGCTTTAGGTAACCCAGATATAATCCAGGAGAGAGACGCTGATGACTCCTCTTGTGATAGGAGAGAATATCCTGTTGCGTGAAAAGCAAACAAACAGAAAAACATCTCAGAAGGCAATCTCCAGACCTTTTCCTCTCTAAGACAGACCTGTCATGAACGAAAGGAGTTGTGGCTAAGTAATTAGGTGAGAAACCTCAGGTACCATCATGAATTCTGGGGAAATGGTGGTGGTACAATTAGTCTTACTTTTGGGAGAATTCTCTTCCATGGGAGGTACTCAGTCTTTAATGCATGTTATGTATTTTTTCCCTCAGTTCTGTAGGTGTGTGGGTTGTGACTGAGAATAGGCTGGTGGTAGTGGAAGCCTAAAGAAAAATTGAACTCATAATTTCTGTTCTTTGAGGGCTTACTGCTCAGCCAGGAGAAACATACATTTGTAAGTGCCCAAGCTAACACAGCAGTTACAGGCAGCTTTGCAATTTCTGGATGGTTACAAAGTCCATTGTTAAACAGAACCATTCGAATAGAATCAAAATGTTACAGTAACTGGGAAAAAAGGTTTGATTGCTCCTTACCTTGAAAATTAAAACAAAAAGTAATGCCAAGAGATTTTGTATTATTAACATGTAAGCTGTAGTTATAATTATGCACTAATTCTGAGAATGAAGACATTGTGAATTAGGCATTGATTTGGGGGGACTTAATTTTTTAGACTAAACTGGATTATAGCTGAAACAATATTCCTATTTGACTTTTATAATGTGATCATGAAGATGATACTTTTTGCAAAAGTATTTGAAGACTTTGTAATTTTTTTCCTAGCAGTTTTTCAAATTTTGATATTCAAGCCATTCTTTTATACAAGGTAGCCCTAAAGTCTGTGTGCAATTTTAAATTGCACATAAACTTTATGGCCACCCTGTATGATCCTTGTTCATTTGAGTGCTCTTCAGTGGTTAACTGGTCTACCACTTCTATTTTTCAGTGGTTAATGGTTTTGCATGTGATTTGATTGGGTCTCCATATCATCTTCATCAATATCACAAAATCCTATATCTTTTATGAGAGTTTAAATTTTGTCTTGTGATGGATTTACATTGCATTTGTATTGTACTGTCACATCACAATATTCTACAAGCAGCAAAGACTGAACAAAATTTCTTGTGCAACAGGAAGTGCCAATTAGGTTAAGCACAGAGGGATGTTGAATACAATTCTGTTGTATATGCAGTCAGTTCGCTAATGAATGATTTGCTCTATGACTTTTGCTTCCCTATATAACTGCAGGGACTCAGATAAGAAATAATTGGAAAAAACAGATGCTCTCCCTTCTTTGCCATATCAGTAGGTAATATTTATAAACATTAGGGCAGTGGGGTGTGGGTTACAAAGTTAGGAGTGATGAATCAGGTAACTGTAAAGGAAGGTTTTCCTGTAGGCTAGAATTTACCCTGGTTTTCAATAAGGGTAAATTTACTTTCTCAACTATCAGAGTAAATTTTAAATGGCCTTACTACAAAAAAATGATAAATAAGTGAGGTGATAGAAATTTTAATTAGCTTTATTTATTTCACATCATCTATATATATCAACACATCACTTTGTACACATAGTTATTTGTCAATTATAAATGATATTAATAAAAATAAATCAATAATTTTTAAAAAATGATAAAATAAAATCAACTTTACCACTAAATGTAGGAAAGGTGAGAAGGAAAACAAAAATAATTATTTAAACTTATATGGAATTCTATATGGAATGGGAAGGTATGGAGCTTTCCTTGGCCACTATATTCTAAAGGAGTGATCTCTCTTCTGTAGAATTAACTATCTGCAACATCTCACGTATGCTGTAGTATACTGTCTTTTCCATCCCATCCTTTCTACAACAGATACTGAGTTCCTGTAATGTGAAAGGCACTCTGGGAGGCACTGGCATTTCAGATGAACATGATGTGATCATTAGTCTTGAGGAGGTCAGGGAAGACAAGTAAACAGATGATCACAATGTGCTGACATTAGTTTTATAATAGAGGCAACATATGCATAGCAGAAGAAGAACTTAACTTATATTTTCCTTTTATGTTCTACTCTTTTAAACTAGACTATGAAAGTAATGGCAGGTGCTTGCTTCAGCAGCACATATACTAAAATTGATACAGAGAAGATTAGCATGGCCCCTGAGCAAGGATGACACACAAATTCGTGAAGCATTCCATATTTTTTAAGCTTTTGAATGCCCCCAAATGCTCAAAGAGGAAGAGAAGTGGAGAGCAAAAATGAATCATTCTCTCAGAAAGCTCTGGGATAATTTGAAGAAAACTAATATTCATTCACCTTATAGGAATTCCTGAAGGTGACGAAGGGGCTTAAAAAGGCATAGATGCTCTAAGAAATAATCAAGGAGAACTTTCGAGACATGTCAAGAAATTCTGAAATTCAGATAGCAGACAGATTCAGAACCCCAGCACAACTCAACTCAAATAAAACATCTCCCAGACACATTATAATTAACTTTGCCAAAGTTAATATGAAGGAGAAAATTCTGCAAGCAGTCAGATGTAAGAAAATCATAACCAACAAGGGGAAGAATATTAGAATGACTGCAGATCTCTCTGCTGAAACCTTTCAAAGTAGAAGAGGGTGGTCATCAACTTTTAATCTACTAAAACAAAATAATTTTCAACCCAGGATCCTGTATCCAGCTAAACTGAGTTTCATTAATGATGGAGAAATTAAATACTTTAATGACATACACATGTTGAAGAAATTTGCCATAACTAAACCAGCTGTCGGATATTCTCAAACCTATCCTCCACAATAACCAGTGGAATCCTCTATCACCAAAATAAACTCACTCAGAAATTTTTGATTAAATCCCAACTTCCACAGTGGTGAAAGGATTAAAAATGTCCACTAGACGTTCAAAAAACTCAATACCCCAAATTCTACCAGGCTTATT